TTGGTGCTCCACCTTTCGAGCTGTCGTATTGGCGGAGATGTCATACCCCAGTCTGTTGGGGCGAGGTTGGTCACCGGGTCATGGGACGGATCGAGGTGGTTCTGCAGACTACCGAGAAGATTCAGCAAATCAGGCAAGGATTGTAGACTGCTCAGAGTCGGCAGAAGAGTTACGCCGACCGGCGCCGATCCGAGTTGGAGTTTCAGGTTGACGACATGATGTTGCTGAAGGTCTCACCCTAGAAGGGTGTGATTCGCTTCATGAAGAGGGGAAAGTTGGGTCCCCGATATATTGGACCGTTTCAGATTATTGCCAGGGTTGGCAAGGTGGCATATAGACTGGATCTTTCGGAGGAGCCCCGTCAGATTCATAGCACTTTCCACGTTTCGCAATTGCAGAAATGCATATTGGACGAGGATACGGTAGTGTCATTGCACGACATTCAGGTCGACGAATGCTTGAATTACGTCGAGAAGCTGGTGGCTGTCATAGAGAGGAAGATAAAAGTCATGCGCAACAAGGAGATACCTTTGGTAAAGGTACAGTGGCAGCATCGGAGGGGATCCGAGTGGACTTGGGAGCCGAAGGCAGAGATGTGGATCCATTACCCGAAATTGTTCGCCGCAGCAGGCTTCGAGGACAAAGCCTAGTTCAAGTGGGGGAGAGTTGTAACATCTCAATCTTCAGGTATGAATTTAAAAGCTTATTATTTATATTTTCAGGGAAACTCGACGAGTTGGAAGGCTCCAACTCGTCGTGTAGAAGTATATTAAGCCGCGTATCTTTCAAGGTCTACTGGACGAATTGGAAGGCCCCAAATCGACGAGTTGACGGTTTGTTTTATGAAACCCTAATTTTCAGGGTTTTACACCCTATTTAAAGAACTTATGACTCATTTGTGGCCTCCCTCATCGTCCCCTCGGTCCATAGAAAACCCTAATCGCGCCTCTTTCCCCATTTTGAGTGTTTGTGAGCTTAAAGAGTGTTCTTTGGTGCTTTTCTTGATGGAACTTGAAGTTGGTGGTGAAAGGTTGAAGAGAGAAGCTTTAGATCCGGGGTTTTTAGTGTTGTTACAGCCACTTGGAGGTATAAAGTCGTTATCTTGATCATCCCTTCTTGTATATCTATTCTTTTAGAAGTTATGGCCATTATTAGCTTATTTTGGGACAATTCTTGGATTTGAGCATGTTATGAAGCCATGGTTTCAGATCTGGACGTTTCATGGCCCCTTTTGACATAAAGTTGTCATCTTTATCAAGTATTGGCCCTCCTTCATGCCCTAGGTCCCTTGATAAGCCTTATTTGAGTGTTTTAGCCCCTTTGATGCCATGCATGGATGTAAAGTTAGCAACTTTACATAGTATCTCAGTCCTAGGGGACCAGATCTATAGTTTGGAGCATTAAACTCGCTTGGAAGCGTCTGAATGCATTAAGGTTGGGAAAACTCAACGAGTTGCTCTGCCAACTCGACGAGTTGGTGGGGGGTTTTCCCGCTTTCTGGATGCTGAAGAACTCGACGAGTTGCTCTGGTAACTCGGCGAGTTGACTCGAGCTTTTCACGACTTTTTGTGACATGAAGAAACTAGACGATTCAGGGGATGCAGTCGACGAGTTGGGGTTAACATGGACTGACCAAGTTTGAATTTAAGGGTATTTTTGGTAATTTAGGATTTTAATGAAAATGAGTCACATGGTGGTTGTAGGCGGTTGAGTTCAGAGCTGAGATTCGAGAGTTAGATCTTGACAGTCAGTGCTACTTGTGAGGTGAGTTTTCCTCATTATACTTAGGGGTCGAAGGCACCAAGGCCGGCCCATTGGATTGATATCCTAGTAGTTATTGATATGCTGAGTATGAGTTAGTTATGCATGCTAGTTTGATATGCTAGTCTGGTAGGTATGTAGGACTACCTGTAATACTGTATGCTTATCTGTATGTGTATTTATATGTTACATGTCGACATGTTGTGTGTGTAGGGTTGAGGTTGTACTGCTCCGTGCGGTAACCAACAAAACCCTAGAGTATGCCAGATATGAGCTAAGGGCCAGGGAGAGCATGCCAGACTCATACTGAGGACTCCTAAGCACTCCAGATGCGAGCTAAGGGCCAGGAGAGCATGTCAGACTCGCACTGAGAGCTAATCATTTATATTCCAGTCTGAGGACTGAAGGAGCAAGCCAGACATAAGTTGTGGGCTCGAGAGCAAGCCAGACTTATGTTGTGGGCTCGGGAGCAAGCCAAATGTGAGTTGTGGGACTGTAAGGCAAGCCAGACTCATACTGTGGGCTCATGGGTAATCCAGTCTGTAAAGTTGTGGACCCATTGCATGCTGTTATTATGTGTACTATTTGTTATGTATCGGTATTTTGAGGGAACTCGCTAAGCTTTGGGCTTACAGTTGTGAATTTTGTTTCAGGTACTTCAAATGATCGTGGGAAGGCGAATGCTTGATCGTGCACCTCCTCACATTTTATGTTATGGTTTCTAGGATTTCTCTGTTATTAAACTATTTTGAAAACAATTTGTAAACACTGAATGGTTTTTGGAATGTTTGAAAAGTTTGAAATTTTTGTGAAATTTATGGATGTTACACTCTCTCTCCACTAGTCATCCTGTCAAGTTGCATGAGTGAAGACAACCCAAAAGGACCATGCTACTATCAAATCAAGTATATACCAATTATAGTTATGGGCTTAGACACCTAATCCAACAAATACTTGATCATCAACACTAATTCTCGATACATCCGAGATAATTTCTTGGAATGTGGATAAAATACAAATATGGTTTTTGTAGACATCCTCTCCCAAATCACATTCAAGATGAACTATACTTCCCATTTAGCCAAAATCTTTCTGAAAGCTTCTTTACTCCATGCACGTAGAGGCAATCCTTCTATATCTAACCATACCAATCGATCCGGTGGGACAAAATTCTTATCCCAAGGGCGCTTCTCCACAATCCAATGATTCATAGCATCACTTGCTAGAAAATTTTTACATGCTTCTTTGTGTTTAAACTCAAGCATAACCCATAAGCCACCAACATATCGGATATCAAAATCCTATAAACCCTCATCAAAACAAAGCATTCGTACGGTTAGGAAAAGTAAGGAAATCCCTACCCTTAATGAGGCAAGCTTGTTTTCTTCTTTCTACCATGAAATCCCCAACAAAAAGATGAATAATATCATCATCCTTTTTATAAAAAGGATTGTCACTAAACCCCGCTCTAACCACACTTGCATAACTAACTGATGGGCGTGCATGCTTTTCCACATTGACCCTAGAATTCTGAACTTTTTTATGATTACCAAGTTTCGAAAATCTTGGAGTAGAAGCAAAAAGTTTATGATATCCAAACCAAATATCACATAAATTTCTTATCATAACATCAGAATCTGTAACATCCACGAATCTAATAAACCCGAATCATTTACCCAATCACGGTTTTTTATTTGAAATAAACACGTCAACTACTTTGCCAAGTCGATCACACATTCGCCACAGATCACTACGTAACATATAATCTGGAAAATTGGTAACATAAAAAGAAGGTGTAGTCTTACTTGATAATCGATTCCTTTCTCTTGAATTATGATGTCAATGACTTCCATAATTATTGAAACCTGAGTCGTTAGGTTTCCAACGTTCATGAAAAGACGACCCCATACCAATCACCCAATGATACTGATCAGAAAGAAAAGAAGAAGCGCATACTTGAAACCCAAGAAAACAGCCACTACGAAGCTCTGATCACCCTACCGACGTTTGAAAATCCTATTAAATCTCTCACATTTTACAATATTCTAAAAAAAAACACTTTATATTTTATATATCCCAAAAAACAGGATCCAATATTCTAAGGGTTAATCTAAAAAAAAATCTTTATATTTTGTGTTTTTTTCGGATTAAGCTTCAAATTTATTTTTTGCCTGAAAAACCTTCAATTTTTCATTTTTTAGAAAAAACACTTAACTCTATATTTTTTTCCGAAAAACCCTCAAACTTCTAAATGCTTCCAAATAAACCGTCAAGTTTTTTTTTAGTTTTTCTCGAAAAAACCCTCACATTTTACAAATTTTTGGCAAAAAATGACTAAAGGCCGAATCAAGAAAAATAAAAAATATAAGGTCTTTTTCAGACAAAAAATAAAATTGAGGTTAATTAAAAAAACACAAAATATATAAAATTTGAGATTAACCCTCTTCTAAATACATTCTTTATTTTTTTTTTCTATATAATAATTTAACTTTTGGCTGTGTGCTCGTTTGGTCACTTAACTCATTTTAAGTTTTAAAAGTTCACCGAACTTTTGGCTTTGTGCTCATTTAGTCACCTAACTTTTGGTTTGGTCGCTTAACTCTTGCATTTGTGCTCATTTAGTCACCTACCTTTTAAAATATGCTCATTTAGTCACTGAACTTTTAAAACAAAGTTATAAGAGTAAATTACACGAATCGCCTCTCGTGCAGGTGCCCAAAAGAATGTTCGGTCTCTATTTTTAAAAATTAACTCGGATCGTCCTTAATATGTTTAAAAGTTGCACGTTTTGTTCCTATACCACAAAAAATTAATATGTTTAAAAATTAATATGGTTTCATAATCATACATAAAAAGACAAATTTACCCTTATTTACTCTATTTTGATTTATTTTTAATTTCTTTATATTATTAATAATTGAAAAACTAAAATAAAATGAGGCCTATACCACAAACCCTTGATCTCTTACTACAGGTTTTTAACCCATACTTTCATCGATTTATCTTCTCAACTTGGACTGTCGAAGCTACAAAGAGAGGGCGAGAGGGACGAAGAGAACGATGTAGATCCGCGGTCGTCACCTGTACACCACCCACACCCTTCATCAGTTCATCTACTCCACAAAAATATTTTTGTTGGTCTTCAAAAGCTCCGATTTTACTGGTGCTTGGGTTGTCGTCGACGTCAGGGAGGCAGGTGGTCGGCTTCGGCTACGAATTCTGGAACATTTAGACCGCCGATGACCAACCACCACAATTTATGGAACAACACCGATCATGATTTCTGCATCCGCCCCAACGAATTTCAACTTCCGATCAATGACGGAAACAGGTATCCCTTTGTTGGAATCGTGGGTGTAGTTGGATTCCTTTGCACATTAAGCTCGTCGTTCTCGAATCCACCTACTTCGTTTCTAGTTTGTTGGAGGTTTCTCAATAATGGAAGTACGGTGTATAAGATGGTTTACCTTGATCCATCTCTCAAAGACATTGACTCCGGTGAATCACATGTTTGCGAGATTGTTAGTGCCACCAACCAGCTTGTGTGCTGGCAATGAATGGTGATTACACCCTCAATCGATCTCAATTCCGATCCAACGTTACAATTGGAGTTGGGATTTCAAGATATGCAAACGGTTTATGGAATGCTAAGGGATGAGGTAGGAGCTTCAAGACCTGTTAACAATTTCTGAAACTCAAGTTCTTGGAAACGGGTTTTCGGGATTTTGTTCAATCGGTTATTGAAATGAATGTAATCGATTTTGTTTATTTTCAGATTTTGTGTATTCTTGGTATCAGATTTAACAATATGGGTTTACGCTTGTGCAATTGATTTCAAAAAAGATTTCTTGCATCTGGATTGTGGTCATAGTTACAGACTTGAGAAATCGTAGGTGAAGAGTGATGAAGAGGGATCATGACAATGGAAGAGAAGGGCTTGAGGGGGTGGTCCACATTTTCTTTTTTTTTTTTTTTTTTTTTTTTTCCAAATTATATTAAATATAATAAACAAACTAAAAAAGAAATCAAAAAAGAAATGTGGGAAGGGCAGTATAGTAATTTCAGGTTAAGTAGAGATGAAACATGCGAAAATAACCAAATAAGGGACGGTCCGAGTTAATTTTTTAAAATAAAGACTGAACGTGTTTTTTAACACCTGCACTAGAAACGATTCATGTAATTTACTCAAGTTATAAATATGAGCACAACTTCAAAAGTTAGGCAACTAAATGAACATAATTTTAAAAATTAGGTGATTAAATGAACACAAAGCTAAAAATTAAGTGATCAAATAAAAAGTTTGGTGACTAAATGAACATAAAACCAAAAATTCTATGACTTTTTAAAACTTAAAAAGAATTAAATGACTAAATAAACACAAAACTCCTTAAAAAAAAAAATATAACCTAGTTATCACCTTCAAAAATTATTATAACCTAGTTATCTAATATACAACCTCATCAACACCTTCGTACTCGGTAGGGTTTAGGGTTTCTGTCCATTGCTCCAAACACAAGGAAGGTGAAATCGTGTAGCTTATCAAATAAAGGATGCCGGCGACTGAAATCACGGCGGATGCGTTGTCGGCGTCAGGCCGAACGTCGGAAAAGCTCAGCCTGCCTACGCTTCAATCCAAAATGAAATGCGACCCTGAAGGCTACGAGACCGAACTAAACTTGATTTACAGCCAATTTAAGTCGTCTGTAGAACTTTTTCAACAACAGGCGGCACTAAATTTCACCTCCGTCGTCAGTGGCGGCGTTGGAAGCGACCCTACCGTTGCCAAAGACCTCGGTGACCGGGCGATGTTCTTGGCTCACGTTACGCCTTTTTACCCTAACCAGCTCCTAAACTATCCGAAAGAGCTCGTGGAATTTCTTAGGTCATCCGCTCGCGTGCTTCCGTCCTCGCTTCGTGTCACTGTTACACAAGCTCTGATACTTCTTCTAAATCGCAAGGTATCATCTAAATTGGATCAATATTTGACTATATGTACACACGAAAACACACACTGCACGCTCAGTTCAGTTATTTTCTGTTTGATGATAGAAGAACTGTACCGTTAATCGAAAATCGACGAATTTGCAACTTAAAATTTGATTTGAAACGAGTTCTACCAAATGCTCGATAAATAATTGATAAAGTATGTTAAATTTCAAACCAAATATAGTGTGCTGAAGTTGTAACAGTATTGAGGTCGAGATTTAATCTTTTTTTTGAAAGAGAGGTCGAGATTTAATCTTAAAAGCAATAGGATTGACTTCATAGCAGAGATTGGTTTTGTCTTTCTGGGTGGAACTGATCATTTTACAAGAGGTTTTGGTAGATATGTTTATGACTTGGATCATTTGTATTCACAGATTGTTGCCATCAAAGAGACTCTTGCATTGTTCATGGAGCTTCAGGTTTTGACTGATAAGCCTTTAAAAGAATTGGCATTCTCTCATATCATTCATAGTATCAAGCGAATGAATCAGAAACACAAGAACGAAACGGAAAACAGAGCACTTCAAAGTATTCTATTTTCAATGCTACAGGTATACACATATTTCTTTGGCTTTTTAAATCTCTTTGTCAAACTTATTCAGTATCCAACTATATAATATCCTTTTTATGTTGCTTCAGGAAGAGGATGAAAAGAAAGCAATGAGGTCGCTTGTCACAATATGTGATCTCCATAGGAGGAAGGTCTGGTTTGATGATAGAACAGCCAATGCTATATGTCGGGCATGTTTCCACCCATCATCAAGGTTCATCAAATCTAAATATTCTTACGATACATGTCCTTTTTCATGTAACAAATATAATGTACTCACAAGATTTTTTGTTCTTCCACCAGGATTATGATTGCAGCTCTGTCATTTCTTCTTGATTATGAAAAAATTGAGCAAGACAATGACAGTGACGAGTCAAGTGATGAAGAAGAAGCAATCCAACAACATCATGTTGTTGTTAGTAAAGAGGCTATTTACAAGGTTAGTTGCTCAGTTTTTACTTTCTTTTTAAGATAATTGGTTTCTTCTCCAGTGTTCTTATATATGTTCATCAAAATAGGCCAACAATACAGGGACAACATCCAGCAAAAAGAGAAAAAGAAAGCAAAGTTGCAGCGTGTGATTCGTAGCATGAAAAAGAAACAACGTATCTCATCAGAAAGGAATGATAACCTTAACTACTATTCACCACTTAATGCTTTAACAGACGCCCAGGGGTTTGCTGAGAAGCTGTTCTCACGACTTCAAACTTGTAGTGAACGTTTTGAGGTAATTACTAATATACCCCTTTGTGTCCCATTTTTGACAACCTCCCTCCTAAATCCCAATAACATGTTCAATGTTATGTATTCTCATACACCCCTATAACTATAAATATTGCAGATAAAAATGATGATGGTGAAAGTGGTTGCGCGTACTGTTGGACTTCATAGATTGATTTTATTGAACTTTTATCCTTTTCTTCAGAAATATGTTCAGGTAATCTTTTTCTTCTTTCTAGTTGTTTTTTATATTCACTAGTTTTATCTCTAATTGTTACGTATATTCTTTAGTATCATTCTTATTGTGAAATTTTCAGCCTCACCAAAGGGATGTGACAAACTTGCTAGCAGCAGCTGTCCAAGCCTGTCATGATATGGTATGTAATATGTAATTTAACCTTTTATTTTTCATTGGAATCATTTAAATGAATGTGTTTTTTGTCACCATTATATTATATACAAAAAAAATTGATCAAGTTATGTGGACCAGGTGCCACCTGATGCAGTTGAACCATTATTCAAGCAGATAGTTAATCAGTTTGTACATGATAAGTCACGTACAGAGGTATCTTTCTATTGCTATTTTTTGGTTATATTATTTTTAAGTGATGTGAGTTTTTAGATTTAATTTCCTTTTGCAGTCGATTGCTGTTGGGTTGAATGTTGTTCGTGAAATATGTTTGCGTATTCCTCTGGTAAGCTTTTTTGGAATGATTTTTTTTTTTTTCTTGTTGAAAGAATAAAAAAAGAGAAAACTTATTATTACCCTTTTTACTTATATTTTTTGTTCTTCAGTTAATGACAGAGGATTTGCTGCAAGACCTTGTGCTGTATAAGAAATCACACGAGAAGGCAGTTTCATCAGCAGCTCGTTCACTTATTTCATTGTTCAGAGAGGTACTGTAAATCAATCTGTTTCTCTCTCCAAATTTATTTGTGTTTTAGGGTAGAAGGGTAAATTTGTCTTTTTCTTCTTCTGTAGATTTGTCCTTCACTTCTGATAAAGAAGGATCGTGGACGACCTACTGATCCAAAAGCAAAACCAAAAGCATTCGGTGAGGTTACTGTTCCCAGTGATGTCCCTGGGGCTGAGTTACTTCTGGACGAGGATGATGATGTCAGCAATGCTTCTGATGAGGATGGTGAATCTATCGATGCTGACATCAGCACTCAAGGAGGTTCGGAATCTGAAGAAGAAGAAGAAGTTGATGATGATGAAGAAATGGGAAGTGAAGAGGATGAAGTATCTGATGATGATGAGGAGGAGGTGGATGGGATGTCTATTGATTCAAGGGGATCTGAGAAAAGGAAAGGGCAAAAGAGGAAATTTGAAGACTTTGATGGAGAACTTGATGGAGCCAATCAAAGTCTTAGGGCTCTTAAGAGATTAGCAGGAGCTAGATTGGAGAGTGAGGCAACAACAGAAGAGCCAACAACAGATGGTATTCTCTCAAATGAAGATTTTCAGAGAATCAAAGAGCTAAAAGTAAGTGGCTTTTTTTTACACACCATCAATATTATTATTAATCTGCTACTTAATTATATACATTTAAATTTTTTTTTTTCTGAAATAGGCAAAGAAGGATGCAAAGGTTGCATTGACAAATCATGGAATTTTGAAAAAGTCTTCAGATCCAAAATCAACAGTCTTTAAGGTCCCAACTTCTGATCAACTCAGTTTGAAAAGAGTGGATGGATATTCACTTGAAGTAAGTCTGAAAAATCTATTTATTTAATCATAAAAGGAATATTTATTAGTTACAGACTGATTGATTGATTAATGTGCATACAATTATGTATATAGGCTAACATAAGAAAAAAGATGACAAAGGAGGAAAGGAAGGCTTTGATCAAAGCAGGAAGAGAAGATGGAGAAAAGTACCAATCAAGAGCTGCTACCAAGCAGAAAAAGGTCTGTTTTTATTTATTTTATTTTATTTTTATTGTTCATTCAAAAGACCAAGATATTAATGCAACTCATTTAACCTATGTAGACTGGTGGATTAAGCAATCAGCAAAAGGAACACAAGAAGGCAATGCCTTTAGCTGCCAAAAGATCAAAGATCGAAAGATCACGCCGTCAGAAAAAGCTCAAGGCCAAGACAGCTGGCAAACAGTTCCGTGGTCGCAAAGCATGGAAATGATTCATATTTGGAAAGCCACATTCACAATTTTGCCCTTCCTTTTATCTATGCACTTTCAAAGCAAATTCAGTTATTTTACTTTTTATTTTACAGATTTTAGTGCCAAAATGGAGACATATAATGTGATATAGTATAATTTATTTTTTCATTTTGTGTAATACAGAGTGAGTTGCGTTAGGATGATTCTTTGCATATTTCAAACTATTATATCTTGGACTTTGAACAAAGACAAAATAAATACCCAAACGTATACGGCACATATAAAACCAAACGTATCAAATTCATCAAATAGTCTAATTTCTTTAATAATATAAAGATGTAACGACATAAAAGGCAACGAATTCTCTTTAGACAATTTCTCCCAACCCTAACACTCACAACTCACAAGTACGTAACTTAGAAGTTCAAGCATTGGTTTTTTAATTTTTGTGGTTATTTTGGTTACAATTAACATCACCTATTTGTGCAAGTTCCTCTGCGTATTACCGAATTGCACTCCAAGCTCGTAAGCATGTTTATAGGCTTTGGATCTCTTTGTGTCAACATGTTAAGCTCCTTCTTCAAACAAGTGATGCTCTTTCTTACAAGTTTCAATTCTGTTTGAAGTCGTATAAATCTAGATTGACGTTCCTTTAGCTCCATTTTCATTTCCTTTACAAGTTTCTTACAAGTTTCAATTCTGTTTTAAGTACATTATAAGATTAGTACTACAATATGATGGAGACCTGAGATATATTTATGAAGAAGAAAGGGTTACATTTATCCTGCGTTGTATGAATCTTTGCGAATCTATATCTGGCTTTGAGTCTCTTTCTCTTGGGTACCAATTATGATTGTTTGGTTCTGGTGCAGTTTACATTTCTCTTGTTTCCTTGACTTTTCTCATTTCGTTATAGATTCTCATTTCATCTGCCCGATTCTTGTTCCCATGTTGGATCCTTTGCGCCATGCTCTCCATCTTTGAGTTGTGAATGGAAGAAATCATTACGTAATGCAAAGTGTATATATAGAACAATGTGATATAGTAATGTTTAAGAACTTATCAACTAAAAAATACCAGATCGTTGACTTCTTCTTCACCAGATGGTGTTATTCCATGGGATTTTTTTGAAGACAGAAGTTCATCATGAACTTGTTGCAAATAATGCGTGTCCACACTCCCTTTCTTGATCAGCATTTTTTGGGAGCTGATTTGATTCTCTTACAACACATAAACACAACACGCTTAATCTTCCTCCTTCAAAGCTGCAGTCTAATAAACTCATCTCAATAGAATGCAATGTTCGGAAATTGCTCGTCACAATTTCCCTTGTGCACATGCAAAAAACGTGTTTAGTCTTTATTTTCAAAAAATTAACCTAACTTGCACACTTCATCCCTCTGGACATAAAAAGACCGTTTTGCCATATTTATTTTTTGATTTATTTATTAATTATTAATTCATTAAAAGAAATTGTGTATTAAATTAAATATATATCACTACCATCGGTCTTCAAACACCATCACAGTTCCCTTTCTTCAACTGCATTGACCAAATCGCCGGAGGAATATGATGTCGCCGGAAGAAGACGACTTTGCCGGCAGGTATACAGACGAAACCTACAAAATTAGAGGCTTTCTTGAAGCTTATCGGAGACGATGACGGACTACGGATCTGAGACGACGAGGTACATATCTAAAGGGGTACATCATCGGCGGTTCCACCCTCACCCGATTCACGCTCTACAACAACCTCGACGTCAACACAATGTTCAGAAACCCTAACCGTCGATTGGTGATCTACTATGATCAATCGAGGCCAACGCGATGTACCATCCATAGATTTCAACGGCGGAGGTTCACGGGTTTATTTAGGGCATAAGAAGGACAATAATGTAGTGCGACGTTTAAAGGGGAACACCGGTGGTTCTTGGTGGTGGTGATAAATCAAGGTTGTCTTTGTCTGCAACTCCAAACCACCACCAACATACTGAAATTCTAATTTTGCTTGTTTATCCCCACATCAAGCCTCGCCACAGATGTTGTCTTCTTCTCCCTCCAATTGATCACCTGATGCGTCTCTTTCTTGGTGTTCTTGCTTCACTCGAGCACATATTAATAGTTAGAGGTTAGGGGGTGGTGATTATTTTCCGTCAAAGACTTAGGGGGGGGGGGGATTTTTTATTTTATTTTGTATATTATAAAACTGTAAGAAATAAATAAAAAAAGGAATAGAAAGGGTAGATTAGTCATTTCATGTATCATAAAAGGATAAAACGTGTAAAATTAAACTAGCGATGGATGACGTGTGCAACTTTAAACGAAACAAGAGACGGTCTAAGTTTATTTTTAAAAATAGAGACTAAACACGTTTTTGACATTTACATAAGGGACGATTGATACAATTTACCCAATATTTAAATAAAGGGTATAATCGTCCATTAAATAAAATATTATGTGGATGAATAAAAGAAGAATGAGCTTGCCCAAAATAATTACTCTAATATATTAATATATATATATATATAATATATATATATATATATATATATATATATATATATATATATATATATATAGGGAAAGGGAATATACATTACAGCCGCACCTAAGCTTAGGTACTAAACTTCTGAAAATACATTGTTTACAATAAAAGATTACGGTTAATGGATTCACGGTTAATACTTCAAGATGTAAATTCAAGATCGACACAATAGGGTTTAGGGTTTAGGGTTTAGGGTTTAGGTTTAGGTTTGGGGTTTAGGGTTTAGGGTTTAGATTTAGGGTTAGCGTTTAGGTTTAGGGTTTAGGGTTTAGATTTAGGGTTTAGAATTTGGGTTTAGGGTTTAGGGTTAGGGTTTAGGTTTATGGTTATGGTTTAGGGTTTAAATTTGGGTTTAGGGTTAGTTTGAGGGGTTTAGTAATGTTCACTTGGGTGAAGTAATAAACGATAATTGAGGAAAGAAAACAGAGATGTTAAAACGATAATGAAAGAAAGAAATGTTATGGAGGATGATATATTACCAAGTGAACCCAAACCGGGCATTTTAGCATGTTTAAAACGACATATTTTAGAGGTTTAGTACCTAAGCTTAGGTGGGGTTGTAATGGTGTGTGTACTATTCCCTATCCCCATATAATAGATATATCTCTATATTATATATATATATATATATATATATATTAGATAGGTTTAGGTTCTATGGAAAACAAAAAAAACCCTAAAAATCATAAAAATACATAAAAAAATACTTAGAGACAAAAACTTTTTTTTATCAAAAAATCGCAGCTTTTAACATAAAATCGGTGAAAATTTTTTTGAAATTTTTTTTTTTTTTTTACAAAAAAAAAAAAAAAAAAATTTTTTATTTTTTTTCTGCGAAATTGTCAAAAAGGCTGCGATTTTTTTGATAAAAAAATTCAAAAAAAAGTTTTGTAATGTCTAGGGTATTTTTTTATGCATTTTTATGAGTTTTAGGGTTTTTTTTAGAGTTTTTTGGTTGTCCAAATAACCCTTCCCCTCCCTATATATATATATATATATATATATATATATTATCTATATATATATCTTATATATATATATATATATATATATATATTATATATATATATATATATATGGTCAGGTTCTTTTGCGAACTCATATTTTCCGCAAACTATTCGAACTTTTTCGGGTGAACTTTTTTTTATAAAACATAAAAATAAAAAAGTGACTTAAGACAATAAGTCGGTCATCAAGTACATTCGCAAAAAAAGTTCTCGAAAAAAATGTGCAAACATGAAAAGTGCATATATGCATTAACATCGGAAGTGCATATGTTCGTCAAAAATAACTTTCATATGTGCACATTTATTTCGAGATTTTTTTTTTGAATGCACTTCTATATGACCGATTTAATGTCGTTTTTCTCTGTTTGAAGTTATGATTTGGGGGGGGGGGGGTATACAAGCTCTCTCTCTCTCTCTCTCTCTCTCTATATATATATCTATATATATATATATATTATATATATATGAGATGAGTTATTGTGAGAACGAAAAAATGTGTGAGAACTTGCAAGTCATCCGTCCACAGTTGAGAAACTACGCGTCCGCTGTTATATGGACTGCGGACGAAGATATATATATATATATATATATATATATATATATATATATATATATATATATATATATATATATATATATATATATATATATATATGGACTCGGACGCAGATATGCCACAACAAAAAACCTGACCTTTAGCGACGACAAATAACGTCGCAATTGATGCCTAAAATCGTTGCTAATACCTTTTGCGACGACATGTCGTCGCTATTACCTCGTAGCTAATACTCAAATGTCGTCGCAATTTGTATCGTTTCTAATATTTGTCGTCGCTAAAATCCCGTGGCGTCGCTATTAGCGTCACTTTAATATTCCGGCCAGTGGTCAGAGTTTTTTCCGGCAAGGCTTCCCGGAGGTAGGCGTCGTCGCAATTGGTGCATGTCGCCGCTAATGCTTTTTTTAAAACAATGTATATATGATATTAGTTTATATATATTATAAAATGCAGATTTTATAAAAATACAGAAATCAATACATACCATATTACATAAAACATCAAATAACATAAAACAATACATATAACATTACATAAAACATCAAATATACCGCATTACATAAACTATCTAATAAATCTAAAATAAACATCAAGTACACCATCAATAAACTATATAATAAATCCAAAATAACATCATCCATAACATAAAACAAGAAATACTAGCTAGGCGTCTTCGTCTTCCCCATTGTTATTGATTTGGTTCTTAAACGAGTGGATAATATCTCCAATTTCCGTCACAAACGTTGGGTTTTGGAGAAAAACGTTAACACACACATCCTACAAAGTAAGTATATAAGTTAAAATATCAAACTACAAAAACAAATTAGTATTACTTAACAATTAAGGTCCCGTTTGATAGTTGCTGATTGAGAAAGTGCTGACTGGGAAAGGTCTGTCCGGGTAAGAAATCCTGACTGAGTAAGAAATCTTATTGTTTGATTGTACATCTGACTGAATGTGTTGAGTGATGAAAAATGACCATTTTACCCTGCTGTTATATATAGCGATGGATAAAGTTGCTAAATAATTATAAAAACATACAGATTGAATGAGTGTGACACATATTATATAAAGAAGATAGATAATAAAAGTTATATAAAGATTACAAACCTGGTGGAGGAAATGGAAATCCAGAAGTCGAATTGAATGCAACTTCTTTCAAAACTCTTGAATCATGTGCTATACCCTCTCATCCAGCCCAAACAAAGGTGAATATCATATCAAAATCACAAAATTCCTATTACATTTGAAAACATTCTCCTTTTCCTCTTCCTCTATAACGAGTTTGTTGATCAATGGGTACAACCGCATGTACAAGAGTTCCATCTAATGCACCTATTGCTCCGGAAAAAATATTTTTTAACCGTCTATGTCGTTCTGAGTTATGTCTTGTTGGATTAGGAGTTGTTGGTACTATAATTTCTTTTGCAAAACACATCATTTTCGTTAGGACCTCGTGAAAACATTGATGAATCGTTTGTGTGGAGTGATGAAATCTTCCCTTAACCGCGCGAAAACGTTCATTATGTCCTATAACATGTAAGAATATAGCCATCTTCTCTTCAATGCTTATTAAGCTACTAGCTTGCAACCAATTTTTTTTGGGTAAAATGGTTGCATAATAAAGCAAATGCCTCTTGTGTAAGACGCATCATATCGAAACATTGTGTAGGGTCTCCGTACATCAAATCTTGCGTATACGCATACCCGCTTGAATCGTTATCTCTAATTTTATGAATTCTGATTAGCCTGCGCCGGTTTGACCTCAACCAATAAACACAAAGTAAAAGAAAAGCTACTACAACTTCACCATCAGAAACCATACTTGACCTGTACAAACAATTATGTAACATGTTAAAGTAACAAAAGTCATATAACAGACGTCATATAACAAAAAACTAGTAAATACACAAAGTCATATTCAATATCCAAATATCATCCAAAGTAACAAAAGTCACATAACAAAAAAAACTAGTACAATCATCCAAATTACCATCCAAAAAAGTCATCAAACATAGGATCCAAAAGTCATGCAAATAACAAAAAGTCATGCAACAAAAAAACTAGTAAACATCATCAAAGGTACCATACTTCCTACCCACACCCATCACCACGACCACACAACTAGTATGCGAAAGTCGTAACCAAACTTTTCTAAAATCGGCACTTTCACCAAATAGCAAAAGAGCGCTCTTGTGTCTTTCATCTTCTTCTCCCCATTCCATTTTGTTTAATTTCTCCATACACACATCAACATCCTTATCCATTTCACTTTTTACAATTCTTTCATTTTTTCCACTAACGACCCTTGCAACTTGACAATCTCTTCTTCAACTTCTAATGCCCTTGCATCTCTTTTTTTTCCACTAACTCTTGTTTCCACAACTTTCGTATTTTTGAACGCCCCGAAGATTCTTCACTTGCACCTACGTGTTGTGTGAGGTTTCCATTGGAACATCATCATCAAAATCACGGGCACTAAACTCTTCTACAGGACGAGGGAGTGTAGAAGATGGCCCCCAACTTTGAAAGCCAGTTGAGGTCGAACCTTCAAATAGTTGGGTTCAAAGATCAGGAAACAGCAGGGTTTAGTTTTCAATGACAACACGAACTTGTTCAACTGTTTACAAGTTTTATAAATATTAGTATTTTTTATAAAAATAATCATAATAGTATTTGTTATAAAAATATTACCTTCCCCTCTTCCTTCCATTGTTCATCGGTCAGGTTAATTTTTTTTTTTAGGGTCATATATATTGCCGGTTTTGTTTTTCAGTTTCACCCAAGCAACATACTTTGATTTGTAGTAGTCAAAGTGGTTTCTCATTTGCTTCTGATCAACCTCTTTACCGTGTTCGTTTATCAATTTTTTGCGTACTATCTTCCATGAACTAGCCTTAAGCTCAGAACCCTCACGACCATTAGTGGTTAGTTCATGGATACATGCATCAAGAAAAGTTTTGTCCTCACTTTCGTTCCAAACCAACATCCTAAAA